AGACCAAGAATTTTCATTCATGGAGGAAAAAAATCCCATCGGCCTCAAAGCGAGGATGTGGGATCCTTAAAGACTACAGCCCTAGCCAGGTTTATCAGATCATCAAGAAAAGACAGCCACATTTCAGTGATAAATTGAATATTAAGTTTAAAAATTTATAAAAACATTATTGAGCTGCAGAAACTATTATTTTTAGCAAGCTGAAAAGAGGATTCCTAAACACACCATTAGACTCTGCTAGAGATGTCTATGACGGTTATCAAATGAATTTTTCATGTATGTGGCATTAACCCTTCATGTAAAACAGGGATGTCCAACCTTGGCCACTTTTAAGACCTGTGGACTTCAACTCCCAGAATTCCCCAGTCAGCATCATGGCTGGCTGGGGAATTCTGGGAGTTGAAGTCCACAGGTCTTAAAAGTGGCCAAGGTTGGATACCCCCGATCTAAGACATGACCAGACATTCTCACATAGAACATAGAAGACCCTGGGATCTTCAAAAGTAACAAAAAATGCTTGTGAGATATCAGAATGTATTGAAGATTAGTGGAGAGTGGCAGACATATCCCTGCCAGCTTTTGTTTGAAAAGAGAAATATGAACGTAGACCCCCCCCCNCATTCTGCCACGACCACCACAGCCACGCCCACCCAGTGGGCCACGCCCACCTGGCACCCGGCGATAAATAAGTGGGTTTTGGGTTGCACTTTGGGCACTCGGTCTCTAAAAGGTTCGCCATCACTGCTCTAAGGCGTTTTCTAGGAATTGCTTCTTAATGCGTGTTATCCCCTTGTCCCTGTTTTGCACAAACTCATACGTTGCTTATTCCTCCCCAAGTGTATTGTTCTTATGGGCGACCCATTTTGTAAAGGTCCCACGTTTGATTGGCGAGATAAAAAGGGCAGGTAGCCCTCGACAACCAAGCTCAAAATTTCTGTTGCTATGGAGTAGAGAGTTGGTCTCTGACAGAAGGCCACCTGAAGAGACTAGAAGCATTTGAAATGTGGATTTACAGGCGGCTGTTACGTAAGAGCTGGGTGGACAAGATCAGAAATGAGGTGATAAGCCAAGGGAAATCATCAAAACAATTAAAAAACGAAAATTATAATATTTTGGACATGTGATGCGACACCCAGAAAAATACGGCATACTCCATTTAATCCTCCAGGGAAAGATGGAAGGCAAATGAGGTCCAGGCAGAAGAAGAACATCGTGGCTTCAAAATCTAAGGGACTGGTTTGGACAAAACTCAGCAGCACTTTTTCGTGTGTCTGCTGATAAAAACAGGATCGCCAACATGATCGCCAACGTCCGATAACGGATATGGCAGAAGAAGAAGAAGAAGAAGAAGAAGAAGAAGAAGAAGAAGAAGAAGAAGAAGAAGAAGAAGAAGAAGAAGAAGAAGAAGAGACATTTCTTAAGTGAGTTTTGCCCCATTTTACGACCTTTCTTGCCACAATTGTTAAGTGAATCACTGCGGTTAAGTTAGTAACACTAACTTATTAAGTGAATCCAGCTTCCCCATTGACTTTGCTTGTCAGAAGGTCGCAAAAAGGGATCACGTGACCCTGGGACACTGTAACCATCATAAATATGGAACAGTTGCCGAAAATCTGAATGTTGATCATGTGACCCTGGGGATGCAGCAACGGGCGTTAAGTGTGAAAAATAGTCATACGTCACTTTTTTCTATGATATTCAATCAATCAATTTATTATTACAGCCCAAGGCCAACTTTCTATGATATTGTAACTCTGAACGGTCATTAAACGAACTGTTGTAAGTCAAGGACTACCTGTACCTTGCCTTTTCTTACGTACCACACAATCACGGTGTGCCATTATTTAAATAAACAAAACCACACTTGTTCTTGTTCGCCCCATCCTTTGTTAACTGGACAAGTCATTCCCATATTATAAATTAATAGCAAATTTCATCCCTTCTACAAACAAGCGTTTTGCTTGTTTGTAGAAGGGATGAAATTTGCTACTAATTTAATTCTGCCTTTGGGGCAGTTAGTTTAGCCTTATTGCTAATTTCCTGGGTGGTAGACAATGGATTCACCATCCTTTTATTTCAGTAACATGACACTGACGAGAAAATAAATCGGACAGAGATATAAATCATTATTTCAAAATTTGTAATTAAAAAAAACCCCAATCTGTCAAAATAAATATAAGGACTCCGATTAAATTAGAGCAATTTATTATCATCATCATCATCATCATTATTTTGCTGAACTTGACAAAGAGAGATTCCCAGAGATTGATAACACGACACAATCTTATGCACCATTTCACAACTAGTCCCTTGTTGGTTTTATTAAGAACATAGTAATTTAAAAAATAGCTAAATATGTACATATTAATAAAACATATATACATAAGATTGAGACTTTTACCTAAATATGGAATGATTTTTTCTCTCTCTCTAATAATAAAACCTATAAAAAAAGACTCCTGGAAAAAAGTTTTAACATTAGTCACAGTTAAAGTCAACACAAGTACAATTTTTTTTCTCTTAAGATTCGTAAGACTGCTGATTGTTGGTTAATGGTTATTATAATACGTACGCCCCCATTTGAGGATTTACAGAAAAGACCAAGAATTTTCATTCATGGAGGAAAAAATCCCATCGGCCTCAAAGCGAGGATGTGGGATCCTTAAAGACTACAGCCCTAGCCAGGTTTATCAGATCATCAAGAAAAGACAGCGCCATTTCAGTGATAAATTGGTTGTACTGAATATTAAGTTTAAAAATTTATAAAAACGTTATTGAGCTGCAGAAACGATTATTTTTAGCAAGCTGAAAAGAGGATTCCTAAACACACCATTAGACTCTGCTAGAGATGTCTTATGACGGTTATCAATGAATTTTTCATGTATGTGGCATTAACCCTTCATGTAAAACAGGGATGTCCAACCTTGGCCACTTTTAAGACTCGTGGACTTCAACTCCCAGAATTCCCCAGCCAGCATCATGGCTGGCTGGGGAATTCTGGGAGTTGAAGTCCACAGGTCTTAAAGTGGCCAAGGTTGGATACCCCCGATCTAAGACATGACCAGACATTCTCACATAGAACATAGAAGACCCTGGGATCTTCAAAAGTAACAAAAAATGCTTGTGAGATATCAGAATGTATTGAAGATTAGTGGAGAGTGGCAGACATATCCCTGCCAGCTTTTGTTTGAAAAGAGAAATATGAACGTAGACCCCCCCCCCCCCCCAAATATCTTCTCGGCTCTTAAGGGATAGAATAAGGAACAGAAATGTATGCAGATGGAAAGAATCTCCTCAAGGTTGTATCCTCCAAAAACTTTCTACTAAGTTCTCACAATTTCTAATCCACACATCTTAGCAAAACAAAGAAGAATGGAAACTAACCAGGTGCACAGAGTTGAGGGTTCTTAGTTCCTCAGAGAGAGAATAAAATGCATTACTATTTTTTTTACTCCTGTATGCATCCAGGTAATCTGCATGTTATACAGAGGCTTCTCAAAGGCTCATAGAACATGGAATAATAGAGCTGGAAGGGACCTTGGAGATCTTCTAGTTCAACCCCCTGTTGAAGTAGGAGGCCCTAAACCATGTCGAATAAATGGTTGTCCAGGTCTCTTTTTGAAAATCTCCAGTGATGGAGCACCCACAACTTCTGAAGGCAAGCTGTTCCATTGGTTGATGGCTCTCACCGTTAGGAAATTCTCATTCTGTCTAAATCTTTCTCCACAAAGGTGGCAGAAAGCAAACCTACACGAGAAAAAATGTCTACAAGTGGCCAATCAGCTTGTACAACGTATCACGTGAGCAGCACTAAAGAATCTATATTTTCACTCTTTATTCCTGCCCAACTATTATAGACTTAAGTGCGTGGACCAGCAAAGATCAGAGCCAAGGTACAAGAAATCTGCCTGCATAGGTAGTCTTCGACTTACGACCACAATTGAGCCCGATTTCCATGGTTAAGGGAGACATTTGTGACTTTTCTTGCCACAGTTGTTAAGTAAAACCACTGCTGTTGTTAAGTTAGTAACACGGTTGTTAAGTGAATCCGGCTTCCCCCCATTGATTTTGCTGGTCAGAAGGTTGCCAAAAGGGATCACGTGACCCCGGGATGCTGCGACCGTCATCAATACGAGTCAGTTGCCAAGCCTCTGAATTTTGATCACGTGACCGTGGGGATGCCGCAATGGTTTGTAAGTGTGAAAATCGCTCGTAATTCACTTTTTTCAGTGCTGTTGTAACTTCAAACAGTCGCTAAATGAACTGTTAAGTCTAGGGCAGGGGTAGGCAACCTTGGTTCTTTTATGACTCGTGGACTTCAACTCCCAGAATTCCTGAGCCAGCCATGCTGAGGAGAAATGGAGAGGTTTCCAAGCTGAGCCATGGTGGCTCAGGAATTCTGGGAGTTGAAGTCCACAAGTCATAAAAGAGCCAAGGTTGCCTACCCCCTGGTCTAGGGCTACCTGTATTGAGATGCTGGACAAAAGGAAGAAGGGAAACTAAGGTACGTGTCTATATGCATGTTCTCCTTTGATATGGAAGGGCACTTGAGGAATTAGGCAAGGAGGAAGACATGGACATCCTGTCTTGACCAACTGAACAACTGTCGCGGGATCATACTGGAGTGCTTTTGATACCACTAGCCAGAATCCTGCCTTGGGCAGGGGGTTGACTAGATAACCCCCGAGATCTCTTCCAACCCAATAATTCTATGAATTATTCTTGAAATACTCTTTTGGGGAACTACAAGGTGGTGTTTCGAGACTCAAATTTGATCACAGAAAAACTAAAGGGATTGGAAAAATATGGAAAACAATTTGTCATCTTTAGGAGCATTTGATCTGAATGAAGCGTGACATTGCTATGAGCATTAATTGGCATCTTATGATCAAATACAATGACAGCAATTCTGCTTCTGAAAAAAAAAAGTTAATGATTTCATCCAAGTAGGAATTTACCTTGTTGAGCAAAAGCTCAACTCAAAAACTCGTTAAATTAAGAGTCATTAAATGTCTTAGAAGTTTTATTTTTGATCCCATGACTTCTGCACCAAAAACTCTACATGAAATTGTGGTGTTAGGAGCTATTTGCTCAGATTAAGAGGAAACCTTTAACTTCTCATTTTTTTCCCACTAGGTAAATAGAATAGCCAGCGAGTATGTATTGAAGTGGGAAAATGCCACCATAAAATCAAAATTCATCCTATCACATTGGTTACCAGACTAATTGCACTAGAGCCTCTACCGAACAAATCTAGTTATTCTGATTCAATCAAAAGGAAAAGTGATTCGTCGCTTAATTATTATCCACGTTAGAAAAGCATGAGAAAAAAATAATAATAATTGATCGGAGATCGTGAAACAGGAGAACACGGATAGTGAAGTAATCTAGAAAGGTTCCTGGCATCATCTCGAACCAAGGTTGGAACACGCTAATGAAGGACTAGCGCAGAAGACGTGGCTTCGAGGAGGGAACCTGGAAAAAAAAAGTGTTAAAAGTTGAAAATTAGCATTTTAAGGAACTATACTTCTTTATGTGTATTGAGGATGCCCTTGGTGCTCTCTGAGCTTGGTGGTTTTCTTGCAGACGTTTCATTACCCAACTAGATAACATCGTCAGTGCTAGCAGGGAGAAGGGTTTGCTCTCGGTTTATATATAATATAATCCCACTCCTTTCTAGTACTGATGATGTTACCTAGTTGGATCATGAAACACCCGCACGAAACTCACCAAGCTCAGAGAACATCAAGGATCCCACAGTCCTCCTCCTCCTCCCTCTCCTCCTCCTCCTCCTCCCCATAAGCCCTACTCCCTTCTAGCACTGATGATGCTACCAAGTTGGGGTAATGAAACGTCTGCAAGAAACCCATCAAGCCCAGAGAATACCAAGGATCCCACAGTCGTCACCCTCCTCCCCCTCCTTCTTCCTCTCCTCCTCCTCCTCCTCTCCATAAGCCCCACTCCCTTCTAGCACTGATGATGTTACCTAGTTGGGTAATGAAACGCCCGCAAGAAAACAACCAAGCTCAGAGAGCACCTGGGACTTCCTCATTTCAACCCTGAGTTACAAATATTCCCCTTTATTGGTACGAGGCATATTCTTGGCAAGCATCTAATCCAGAAATCAGTTGGGACAAGAGTTGGCAATTGGTCTACTCTTGAACCAGGGGTAGACAACTTTGGCTCTTTTATGACTGGTGGACTTCAACTCCCAGAATTCCTGAGCCAGCCACGCTGAGGGGAAACGGAGAGGTTTCCATGCTGAGCCATGCTGGCTCAGGAATTCTGGGAGTTGAAGTCCACGAGTCATAAAAGAGCCAAGGTTGCCTACCCCTGGTCTAGCTGAATGTAAACTTTATGTAATGTTCTTTTTGATATTTAGCTAACCTCTTAAAATGTATTTAACTCTGACTTTGTTTTAAATTCACATGGAATGGAATGGATCTGTTCAGAAGTATATTAAAATGGCAGCCTGTGTTCAGTTAGGCATCCAGCCCTCCTAACCCTCCCTTGTTGCAGAAGATAGCAAATATACACTTCAATAATATTATAACTATTTAGTTTATTTATTTATTTATTATTTGGATTTATATCCCGCCCTTCTCCTCGCAGGACTCAGGGCGGCTGACAATCAATTAAAATACATAAGTAACAATACAAATTTAAAATTAATTAAAAGAGATATTTAAATATTGTCAAATTAAAATCTAATTAAAACCCCTCTAAAAATTACCCTAGGCCAGTCCTGCAAGCTGGAATAGCCATGTCTTGAGGGCGCGGCGGAAGGAAGGGAGATCAGGGATCACCCTGATCTCTGGGGGCAGCTCATTCCAGAGGGTGGGAGCTCCCACAGAGAAGGCCCTCTCCCCCTTGGGGTCGCCAGCCGGCACTGTCCGGCCGACGGCACCCTGAGGAGACCCACTCTATGGGAGCGTACAATCAATTCTTTAATAATATAAGAGAACCTACCCCTGTCTTAGACAAACCCAGTCTTAGACAAACTACCCCTGCCTACCCGTCTTAGACAAACCCAGAGGCCATTGTACATCTGCGCCAGTTGGTTTCCTGGACTGGTCATGAGCTCTGAAGGCCTCCATGGCTGAGCTGCAGGCGGTCCGAGAGAGGACCTCTTTCTCTATGAACCTCTCTGCTGCTGAAGATGATCTCAAGGGGTCCCTCTGCAGTTGTAGAGAGGTCATCTGGTGGCAACCTTCTTTGTTTTTCCGTTGCCAGCCCAAGTCCCAGAGATGCCCTCCCTAATGAAGGCCTACCCCTTCCTTATTTCCTTTTTTAAAAGTCCTCAGAATAACTTATTTCCCAACAGGCTTTTAGGACGGCTTACTTGGTTGCCACTGTTTGTTTTAAGTGTTCTCGATTTTAAATTTGTTTTTATTGCTAAGCTGCCAAGAAGCTCCAACAGTCAGCGGTACAGTATATCTCACATTAAACAAAATAAAACAAGGAAGGAAACCGTAAACGCCACTTACCTGCCTCTAGCAGAGAAATGTCCAGTTTCTCGTCTCCATCAGCCGTCTCGGCTAAAGAAAAGGAAAATTCTTTTACAATTCTTTTACTTGGGAGTTTAAATGACAGTAAAAGCAGAAAAAGAAATGAAACATGGATGTTTATTTAAAAACAGGCTGAACTGTTGTCTAGGTTGTTGTTTTTTCTCTCTCTTTTTTCCCCAGAGACCACCCTGGTGCCATCTTCACCAAGCTGGTCAGGGAATTATAGAAGTTCCTGTAAAGTGTTTCTCAAACTCAGCAACTTTAAGATGAGTTGACTTCAACTCTGTGTAGCTCAGAGTTGAACTGTGGGGTCTTCAGTGCTTGGTGGCTTGCTTGAGACGTTTCATGACCCAACTAGGTAACATCATCAGTGCTAGAAGGGAGTGTGGTTTGTAGAGAGGAAGGACGACTGTGGGTCCTTGGTGCTCTCTGAGTTTGGTTGTTTTGTTGCTGATGTTTCATGATCCAAACTAGGTAACATCATCACTGCTGGAGGAGGAGGAGGAGGAGGAGGAGGAGGAGGAGGAGGAGGAGGAGGAGAGGAAGAAGAGGAGGACGACGACGACGATTGTGGGGTCCTTCGTGCTCTCTGAGCTTGGCTGTTTTCTTGCAGACATCTCGTGACCCAACTAGGTAACCTCATCAGTATATTGTTTAACATTTGATATATAAGTGATAAGTTTAGATTGTTTAGAATTTTGTTTCGTCGGATATTGATTATGACAGATCGAGTGCCCAAACTGCAACCCAAAACCCACTTATGCATCGTCGAGTGCCAGGTGGATGTGGCCCATTGGCTGGGCGTGGCCCATTGGCTGGGCGTGGCCACGGTGGTAATGGCAGACTGGGTGGGACTAAAAAGTTCAATCAATCAATTCCAACTTTGCAAGATCTTTTTTCCCCGCAAGAGGTTGAAATGGACTGATTGAACCTTTTTTTTTTTGCATATGGCAGCGGAGGCCTCAAGCGAAAAGGTTTTATAAAACCCAGCTGAAGGCCTAGGACTGGGGCGACGGCGCGCGTGCCCACAGAGAGGGCTCTGAGTGCCGCCTCTGGCACCCGTGCCATAGGTTCGCCACCACTGGATTATGATGAATCCTTTTTCTTTTTTAAAGTTGTTTATAGTTTTAATACTTTAGTGCAGACATGTCAAACTCGCGACGTCACGTGACATCGCGTAACGTATCGGGACAGTTTTGCCATTGCCGGCAATGGGGTGGGCACGGCTTCCGCGTGACGCGTACAGCCCGCGGGCCGGCAGTTTAACACCCCTGCTTTAGTACTTTCTTTAGTTCAGTTTTGTGCATTTGTTTTTTCAAATTTCTCATCCAATAGAGTTAAAAAGCTCTACTCATGCATGTATGAAGAAGGCAGAACTTCAATTCTGCAGTTGGCAAATTGACCTTTTTTTTCTTTTTCTTTTTTTACACTTCTCCTGTATTACTTCTGCTTAAGGGGATTTCGGTAACAGAGCTGCTTCAACCAACATTCAATTTGTCCCTGTCCGAAGGCTAATCAACCTTTAAAGTGGAAAAGGATTTTATTGCTGCATAATGCACACATACTAATACACGAAACCCTTTTCGGATGTAAATCAATAACCGAACTGAGCAGGAAAAATGCCAAACCACATAAAAATGCTTTAATTACATTAAAAAAAAACACCACTGCATGAAGGATACAAAAATGAAAAGATTACTTTTAAGTTCCTAAAGCTGCATTCCAAAAATCCACTTCAGTGCACTTTTGTTGATAAAATTTTTCTCAGCCAAGCCTTTTTTTTTTTTTTTGCTGCAATGAATTCTAGGAAAAAGGCCAAACGTTGAAAACAAAGGTACGAAGCAGACCATAACTACAGCTTGACAAAACCCTGAAAAGTCAAAAGTACGTTTTCAAAAGCAAAAAATCAGGACAGGGGTGTTTGTAGGGGCATCAGAAAAGTGAATCAATAAATCAAGAGCTAGAAGGGACCTTGGAGGTCTTCTAGTCCAACCCCCCACTGAAGAAGGAGACCCATGCCATTTCAGACATGTGGCTGTCCAGTTGCTTCTTAAAAACCTCCAGGTGTGGAGCACCTACAACTTCTGGAGGCAGGTTGTTCCACTGCTTAATAGTCCTCACTGTTAGGAAGTTTCTCCTTAGTTCTAGGCTGCTTCTCTCCTTGATTAGTTTCCATCCATTGTTTTTTGTCCTGCCTTTTGGTGCTTTGGAAAATAGTTTTGACCCCTCCTCTTCTTTGTGGCAGCCCCTCAAATACTGGGATATTGCTATCCTGTCACCCTAGTCCTTCTTTTTTCTAAACCCAAATCCTGCAATCATTCTTCATATGTTTTAGTCTCCAGGCCTTTAATCGCCTTGGTTGCTCTTCTCTGCATTTTTTCCGAAAGTCTCAACATCTTTTTTGTAACGTGGTGACCAAAACTGGATGCAGCATTCCAGGAAGACTTTATAAAGAGGTACGAATACTTCACGTGATTTTGACTCTTTGTCTCTGTTTATACAACCCAGTTTTCCCAGTTGCAATGTATGGCTGTGAAAGTTGGACCATAAGAAAGGCTGAGCGCCAAAGAATGGAGGCCTTTGAACTCTGGTGCTGGAGAAGACTCCTGCGAGTCCCCTGGACTGCAAGGCGATCCAACCGGTCAGTCCTAGAGGAGATCAACCCTGACTGCTCTTTAGAAGGCCAGATCCTGAAGTGGAAACTCAAGTACTTTGGCCACCTAATGAGAAGGAAGGACTCACTGGAGAAGAGCCTAATGCTGGGAAAGATGGAGGGCAAGAGAAGAAGGGGACGACAGAGAATGAGGTGGCTGGATGGAGTCACTGAAGCAGNCCTGGAGGAACGTTGTCCATGGGGTCGCGATGGGTCGGACACGACTTCGCAACTAACAACAACATACAACCCAGTTCTTTAAAACAAAACAAAAAAACCCTTCTGTTTTTAATGTCGTCGTATAGGTAGTCCTTGAGATGCGACGATAATGGAGCCTGCTTATTACAGTCGTACGTTGTAACAGCTGTAAAATTGGTCCTTCCGCGACTGGCCTGATTTTGTGACCTGATTTCTTTTGCGGCAACAGTCAAGCAATATGCGTGGTTTGCTACGGGCACGGTTTTGCTGAAAACCAGAAATACGTGCCCATTTGGGGCAAAACCATTGTAAAATGTGGTCCTGTGACCGTGGGATGCTACAAATGGTTGTAAACGGGGCTGCGTTGCTGAGCAACTGAGGCTCAGTCACCTGATCACAGAGGGAGCCCGAATATTGTTAACTCCGAATCTGGGTTGTAAGTCCCCTTTTTCAGTGTTGGTCGTAAATTCAAACAGTCGCTAAGCAACTAGTCGTAAGGCGAGGACAACCTTTAAACCATTTCGCTGGGGATATTAAGATATTAAGGTTTTTTTTTTCTTAATCTGGGTTGCAAAGATCCCTGTTTTGCAGCCGTTGTTGTACGACACGTGACGGGAGAAAGGTATACGTAAGTACAGATAGTCCTCGACTTACGACCTCAACTGAGCCAAAAACCTGTTGTTAAGTGAGACATTTGCTAAGTGAGTTTTGCCCCATTTTACGACCTTTCTTGCCACCGTTGTTAAGCGAATCATTGCAGTTGTTGAGCAAGTAACACGGTCATTAAGTGACTTTGGCTTCCCCTTGACTTTGTTTGTCAGAAGACTGCAAAAGGGGATCACGTGACCCCGGGACACGGCAAACCGTCATAAATATGAGTCAGTTGCCACACATCTGAATTTTGATCACGTGACCCTGGGGATGCCGCAACGGTCTTTAGCGTGAAAAACGGTCATGAGTCACTTTTTTCAGGGGCGCTGTAACTTCGAACGGTCACTAAACAAACTGTCGTAAGTCGAGGACTACCTATGTATCGGGGGTGTGTGAGATCTATCGAGATCACGTTTAAGCAGACCTGAAGGAGGCTGTGTTGGATCTAAAAGGCTCTTGAAATCAGGTTAAAACAACTAGATATGTATAAACTAAAAACTATTGATAAAATGTAAGAAAGTTATTTTTTATTTAATTGATATAACAAGAGTTGTATTAATTTAAATATGAGACAGTAAATACTAAGGGGAAAAGAGAGTAAACATTTAGTGCAATATTTTGAGATCTGTACTAAAGATATTTGTACGTTATTGAATTATTGACCAACCCAGCTGCCACGTTGCTTTTCAAATATTTAAGCGTAAAACTAGAAACTCAATAAAAAATTCTTTAAAAAAAAATAATGAAATCAGGTTTGGCGTGTGCTGATTTGAAATGGAAACACCCCCAAATTGCTCCACCGTGATTCAGCCTGGCTGAAATGGCTTCCCATTTAAAACTTTAACCGCAAATTCCCGGCTGCAAAATTCTTCCCTCTCTAAGGATTGAGCCCAACGTGTCCCCACGTGTCTTCTCATTCTTCAGATGCCTCTGGAGATGCCAGTGGAGGCTGGGCATCTCCTTGATGGGCAGCCTGTTGTCTTAACTGCAGGTAGTCCTCGACTTATGACCGTGACCGAGCCCAAAATTTCTCCTGCCAAGCGAGACGTTGGCTTCATAATAATAATAATAATAATAAAGTTGGAAGGGACCTTGGAGGTCATCTGGTCCAACCCCCTGCTCAGACAGGAAACCCTATACCATTTTGGACAAATGGCTGTCCAGTCTCTTCTTAAAAACTTCCAGTGTTGGAGCATTCACCGCTTCTGGAGGCAGATTGTTCCACTGGTTAATTGTTCTAACTGTCAGGAAGTTTCTCCTTAGTTCTAGGTTGCTTCTCTCCTTGATTAGTTTCCATCTGTTGCTTCTTGTCCTGCCTTCAGGTGCTTTGGAGAATAGCTTGACTCCCTCTTCTTTGGGGCAGCCCCTGAGATATTGGAAGACTGCTATCCTGTCCCCCCTCGTCCTTCTCTTCATTAAACTATACATACCCAATTCCAGCAACTGTTCCTTATATGTTTTAGCCTCCAGTCCCCTGATCATCTTTGTTGCTCTTCTCTGTACTCTTTCTAGAGTCTCAGCATCTTTTTTACATCGTGGTGACCAGAACTGGATGCAGCCATCATAAATGTGAACCAGTTGCCAAGGGTTTGAATTTTGATCACGTGACCATGGGGATGCTGCAAGGGTCGTGAATGTGAAAATCGGTCGTAAGACTCTTTTTCCAATGCCGTTGTAACTTCAAGTGGTCACTGAACGAACTGTTGTAAGTCGAGGACTACCTGTACACCCAGAAGGGGTGGAGGCTGCAGCGCAACTTTTGAGACATCGTTCCCATTCTTTGGATAAAAGCAGCGAGAACATGTGAGCACTTGAGGTCTATGTATCTTTTCTTAGTTGTGGCGGCTCCATCACTGGAGGCTTTTGAGAAGAGACTGGACAGCTACTTGTCTGAAATGGTATGGGGTCTCTTGCTTCAGCAGGAGGTTGGACTAGAAGACCTCCAACGTCCCTTCCAACTGTTATTCTGTTAACCTTCCTTCCCTTCTCTTCCTTCCTTCCTTCCTTCCTTCCTTCCTTCCTTCCTTCCTTCCTTCCTCCCTCCCTCCCTCCCTCCCTCCTTTCTCCATCATTGGAGGCTTTTAAGAAGAGATTTGATAGCCATTTGTCTGAAATGACATAGGGTCTCCTGTTTGAGTAGGGGGTTGGACTAGAAGACCTCCAAGGTCTCTTCCAACTCTGCTATTCTGTTGACCTTCCTTCCTCCCTCCCTCCCTCCCTCCCTCCTTTCTCCATCACTGGAGGCTTTTAAGAAGAGCTTTGATAGCCATTTGTCTGAAATGGCATAAGGTTGGACTAGAAGACCTCCAAGGTCCCTTCCAACTCTGTTATTCTATTGACCTTCCTTCCTTCCTTCCTTCCTTCCTTCCTTCCTTCCTTCCTTCCTTCCTCCTTTCCTCCCTCCCTCCCTCCCTCCCTCTATCACTGGAGGCTTTTAAGAAGAGATTTGATAGCCATTTGTCTGAAATGGCACAGGGTCTCCTGCTTGAGCAGGGGGTTGAACTAGAAGACCTCCAAGATCCCAACTCTGTTTTTCTGTCCTTTGATGGGCTTAAAGACCATTTTTATTCTCTTTCCTCCTCCTCCTCCTGCTGTTTAAAACGTTAATGTAGCAGTGATTACTTACTTCCATCCTCTTAGTTTCTCTTCTGTTCTATTCTTTAAGAACAAAAAGAATATTTTTTAAAAAAAAATGCGAATGATGCTCTTTTGGGGAGTTGTGTATTTTGCTTTGAAGTGTTACCTGGGGAACGTTAATCCTGGTGATGGATTAACTTCAAAGGGCCCTGAATGCATTTTTAAATAATAATAATAATAAAAAAATACTAAATGTTCAGGAACCTCATTATTATCTGCTAGATTTTTGGAGTTACAGATGAGACGGAAACTAGCCAGGATACCCCAACTTGTAGCCCACCACTGTAACCACCCTAAGGCCCAACTGGCTGAGGATGATGGGCTATCAAGACCTTTAAAGTACAGGTAGTCCTCGATTTACGACCACAACTGAGCCCAACATTTCTGTTTGCTGAGTGAAACATTTGCCGAGTGAGTTTTTGTTCCATTTTGCGACTTTTCTTGCCGCAGTCGTTAAGCGACTCGCCGCAGTTGTTCAATTAGTTACGGTGGCCGTTAAGCGAATCCGGCTCCCCCATCGACTTTGCTTGTTAGAAAGTGGCAAAAGTTTTGTCTGAAATGGTATCGTGTTTCCTGCCTGAGCGGGGGGTTCGACTAGAAGACTTAAGGTCCCTTCCAACTCTGTTGTTGTTGTTGTTGTTGTTGTTATTAATACTGAATGGTTCCAAGTTGGTCACGTGAGCTCAGGACATTGCAATCGTCATAAATATGAGTCAGTCGCCAAACGTCTGCATTTTGATCGCGTGACCATGGAGACGTTGCGAGTCTGAAAAACGGTCCTTAGTCACTTTTTTCAGTGCCGTTGTAACTTTGAACGGTCGCTAAATGGAACTGTTGTAAGCCCACCCCATAACATAATTCAAATTCAGGCACATGGCAAGCAATCAAGACAAGACCCCCACAGAAAATCCCTAACCTTAACCCCAACCCCAACCCTTAACCCCAACCCCAACCCCAACCCTAACCCCAACCCTAACAACCCTTAACCCCTAACCCCAACCCCTAACCTCAATCCCAGCAGAGCGAGCTGCTGCTTTCTGCTGCTTCCTGCTAAGACGCAGCAAAGGCAGGAGCCCCGTCCAATAAGCTTGTCAGCTTGTCCGAGAACAGCATGAGGCCACTCTCTTTTTTACACACACACAGAGAGGGGGGGGGGAGCGCAAGTGCCTCTCTCTCTGCAAATGGCGGAGGAGGCTGGGAGCTGCAGGAGAATTCTTAAAGAGCCACATGCGGCTCGGGAGCCGCGGGTTGCTGACCCGTGCCCTAACCTCAACTCCAACCCCTAACTCAACCCCAACCCTAATCCCTAACCTCAACCCCAACCCTAACCCCTAACCTCAACCCCAATCCCTAACACCAACACCAACCAACCTCAACCCCCAACCCCTAACCCTAACTGTAACCCCAACCCCTAACCCTAACCCTAACCCCTACAGAAAATCCTCTGCATTATCCCCAAAAGGAAAACTTCTGAATGCGGGACATTCCCGCCTTCACTCCAGACTGAGAATATGGAGGAAAGAAAGAAGATGAAGAGGGACAGAGATCCAGGCTTAACCTTCATTTGGAAACATAAACCCCCTTCTTCAACTTCACGGGAAGGATGGTAAGGGTCTTCTTTCCTTTCTCTTTCACGTTCTCCCCTCCTTCCTCCTTCTCACTAACCTGATCCTCTTTTCAACCGTCTTCTGGCCAGCTTGATTTGATCCTGCAGAATTTGTACCCAGTCTCTCGGGCCAGGAAGTTTATCCACGTGGTTTACAGTACAGTATTTTTCTGTGAACACTGCAACGGGAAAACAAAACAAAACAAAAAATCAAAATCAGGTGAAGTATCTTAGTAGCCCTAACATGCATTTCTGGAGAACACTGTGGCTAACAGAGGGAATAAAGGCTTTGTCCTGCTGTTATATTATAGGTAGTCCTTGCCTTACGACCACAAATGGGCCCAAAATTTATATTGCCAAGCGAGACATTTGTTAAGTGAGTTTTGCCCCCATTTTACGGCTTTTCTTGTCGCATCTGTTCACCGAATCCCTGCAGCTGTTAAGTTAGTAACACTGTGTTTAAGTGACTCCAGCTTCCCCATTGATCTTTGAGGACCACAATTAAGGTTATTTGGGCAGGAGTTCTATCACACATGTGGATTTAGCCAGGTTTTAGGGGAGGGTTTCACCCCCCTTTTTTGGGAGGAAGTGGTGAAAAGAGATGCAACCCTGTTTTTTCACCACTCCATCTGGACGGAGCTCCAGGGATACCTTAGGACAGTGATGGCGAACCTTTTAGAGACCGAGTGCCCAAATTGCAACCCAAAACCCACTTATTTATCGCCGGGTGCCAGGTGGGCGTGGCCCACTGGATGGGCGTGGCTGTGGCGGTCATGGCAGATTGGGTGGGTGTGGCCAAGGTGGGCGTGATCACTTCAATGTTGCTCGTGGGAAGGGACGCCTATGGGGGCCGGGCAGGATTGGGGGAGATCCAGGGGGTCTCTGGGAGGTGGGGCGGTGGGCAGGAGGCTCGTCCTGCGGGGTGAGGCAAGGCGAGGCAGGGCGGGGGTGCCATTGTCACAGGGCAAGGTGAGGCAGGGGCCGGGGCGGCTGCTGCCTGATACCATTGGCCCCCGCACACAGAGGCCAGTGAGCGCATGGGTGCTGGGATGCATCCAGCCATGTGGGACCTCGGCGAGTTAGTGGGCGGCTGGTTGAAGAGGGACGGTCGCCATCTCCGGGGCATGGCGAGCGTGCCCACAGAGAGGGCTGAGTGCCGTCTATGGTTCGCCACCACTGCCTTAGGAAATAGGTTTTAGGCCAGGGTATAGCCTGAAGCTGAGATACGACGTCAGAAGGATGCATTTGAGAAAAAGAAGAGCGACAAGGGTTAACAGAAACAGCAGCGAAAGCAAGGGATAAAAATGTATGGAAAAATCAGTTTGGAAGGCAAGTAGAGTTTGACGTCAAAAGCTCCACTCAACCAGAATGCTTTTAACGGCCTTATTAGCATCCTCTTTGCTGATTAGCTCTGCAGCAGTAAAACAATCCCCCCTCTCCAAAAAGTACCACAGGGATATTGGAAGTGACATGAATTATATCCCTGAAAAGTCTTTACACTCCCCCTCCAAACTGATTTATTGGACACAACCTGCTCAACCTATACTAATGGGACAGAGTGCCCAAAGTTTGAGACTAGATCTTCTGGAAGGTCTCTCTCTTCCTGCCAAGTAGATTAAAAAAAACCTTCTGATTCTTAATGAGATCGAAGGCTGACTGAGCCACCAGAAGAAACAAATGGATCTACAGTGTCTTGAAGGACGGCTTTATGAAGTCAGCGTGTGTAAATAGAGACAGGCAGAGCGAACTTCCACAGTGGCATCACTTGCTACTCGTGTCTAGGAGAGTCCCTGCTGAAGCCCAGCAGAAGTCCTATCACTTGGGTGGCACTATCAAGTCAATAAAAGGAGTCTTATTATTAGAATGGTGCCTACTGGTGCCACTCGAAGGAGATCAACAGCTGGAGGGAACTGAAAACTGATTCAGATACATATTTCAGATGTCTGTGTCTGTCTGTCTGTCTGTCTGTCTGTCTGCCTGCCTGCCTGCCTGCCTCTCTTTCTTTCTATCTATCTATCTATCTATCTATCTATCTATCTATCTATCTATCTATCTATCTATCTATCTATCTATCTATCTATCTATCTACCTACCTACCTACCTACCTACCTATGTCTATATAATCTATATCATCTATCTGTGTCTGTCTGTCTGTCTATCTATCTACCTACGTACCTACCTACCTATGTCTATATAATCTATCTATCTATCTATCTATCCATCCATCCATCCATCCATCCATCCATCCATCCATCCATCCATCCATCCATCCATCCATCATTTTTCTATCTTCTATAGTCTGTATCATCTATCTTCTTCATCATTACTAGCATCTATCTATTACTTATCTATCGTCTGTCTGTCTGTCTGTCTGTCTGTCTGTCTGTCTGTCTGTCTATCTGTCTATCTATCTATCTACAGGTAGTCCTCAACTCATGAATAGAATAGAATAGAATAGAATAGAAACAGAAACGAAACACAACAGAATAGAAACACAACAGAACAATAGAATAGAAACACAACAGAATAGAATAGGAACAGAACAGGAATGGAATGGCACAGAAACGGAACAGAACAGAACGGGAATAGAACAGAACAAAACAGACTAGGAATGGAATAGGAGCGGAATGGAACAGAACAGGAATGGAATTGGAATTGGAATGGAATTTATTGGCCAAGTGTGATTGGATACACAAGGAATTTGCCTTCGGTGCATAGTTCTCAGTATACAACAAGTGATCAATCACGATCATTATAATAAAATACAATCATCAGGAAAAAATACCTTTTATTGCACCCACAATATTTTGGTCTAGTCCTTTCCGGTTGTCATTGAGCCCTCTTTTCCTTTTGCCATTCGGCAGAGAGTTGGCCAACGTCTTGTCATCAAAAAACGCACACACCAGTTTTCGAAAGAGGAGACTTCCTGAGCGAGTGTAATTTGCTAATATAGAGTCCAGTTGTGATTTAGGCATGAAAACGTCAAAACCTTCAGCAAGCTGTACTTCTGGCTATCAGAAAAAAGGAAAAGGAACAACAAGGTATGATTAGCAGCCTCATCATTCTGCAGGCTGAATACATTGGTGCAAATACAGGTATACAGGCACTGTGAACTGTATTACGCACAGACACAACTGTGTTAAACTGGCGCCAGAACAGTTTCGATTCATTCAGTTAAAAACGTTAACCATTGAAAATGGAAATGGGAAATAATACATTCTCTATCACAGGGCTTTTCAACCAGTGGTACGGGTACCACCTGTGGTACACTGGCACCTAGCAGGTGGTACGCGACCATCCTAGAAAAGTGGTAGCGGGGGAGGGGAATGAGCTGAACCGGTGGCAGCACCGCACAAGCCTGAGCGAGAGACGGCTGGAGCTGCAGGGCTGTCAGGGCTCAGCGGAAGCGCCAGGATCAGTGCCGCTTTCCAGCTGATTGGCGCTTCTTCGGGACTGGCGCTGATCTTGGCGCTTCCACTGAGCCCTGAAGAAGCACCAATCAGCTGGAAAGCAGCACTGATCCTGGCGCTTCTGCTGAGCCCAGAAGAAGCGCCGATCAGCTGGAATGTTGCAGCCTCTCCAGGGTCTTGTGATTTACATTCAGATGCTTAGAAATTGATTCATATTTATGACGGTCACAGTGTCCCAGGGTCATGTGAAGTGACCAAAACCTGCTGCAACCACCCAGCAGATGGGGGGGAATAAAAACCAAACACCCCCCCACCCCATCCCCGCTGCCAATCCTCAACAGAAATGCTCACAACAATGAAAACCTCGGACAGGAGGAAGAGCGCCGCCGGGCGGGCAGGCAGGTGTCTTGCTCAGTTGTGGCTTGGGGGGCACTTTTTTCAGTGCCATTGTAACTTTAGTCACTAAGCGAACTGTTGTAAGTCGAGGACTACCTGCACTTCATCACTTTTTTCCTTTTGGGGGCGGGGTCATCAGGTTTTTGACACTTTGCTAGGCGACTGGTGGTACTTGGATAGTGCCATATCCTAAAAGTGGTACAATGGGTGAAAAGGTTGAAAAGCCCTGCTCTATCAGGTCTACACATATTATTATCAGTAATACATGTTAATAATCGGGGAAAATTCCAGGCAGATGGTTATCTGTATGCTTATATATTTATAGATAGTCCTTGACTTACAACCGTTCGCTTAGCGACGGTTCGAAGTTATAAGAGCCCTGAGAAAAAGTGACTTATGACTGTTTTTCACATTTACGGCCATTGCAGCATCCCCATGGTCACGTGATCAAAATTCAGATGATTGGCAACCGACTCATATTTATTTATTTATTTATTTATTTATTTTGATTTATATCCCGCCCTTCTCCCAACGGGACTCAGGGCGGCTCACAACATATTTAAAAACATAGACATATTTACAACCCCCACCAGATAAAACCAAATTAAACCAATATTTAAAGTTGTGCAGTTAAAATTATTGTTAAAAAAACCCGATTTAAAATCCTCCCTAGGCCAGGTCCGCTTGCTGAAAAAGCCATGTCTTGAGGGCGCGGCGGAAAGTAAGGAGATCCGGAATCATCCGGATCTCGGGGGGTAGTTCGTTCCAGAGGGTGGGGGCACCCACAGAGAAGGCCCTCCCCCTGGGGGTCGCCAGCCGACATTGCTTGGCCGACGGCACCCTGAGGAGTGCCGTGTCCCAGGGGTCACGCGATCCCCTTTTGCGACCTTTGGACAAGGAAAGTCAATGGGGACCTAATTCACTTCACAACCATGTTACCAACTTAACAACTGCAGTGATTTGCTTAACAACAGTGGCACGAAAGGTCATAAAATGGGGCAAAACTCATTTAACAACTGTCTTGCTTAGCAACAGAAATTTGAGTGCCAATTGTGGTCATAAGTTGAGGACTACTTGCACCAGGACTAGTTGACCTTAAGTTACTTGAAACCCTGCCTAGGGTTTGTGATGGCTGGAGACACCATGCATTTTGCAGCTGACAGCACAGTTAATCCAGTAAACCAAGGGGTCTTCAAACTTGGCCCCTTTATGACTTGTGGACTTCAACTCCCAGAATTCCTCAGCCAGCGTGCCTGGCTGAGGAATTCTGGGAGTTGAAGTCCACAAGTCATAATGGGGCCAAGTTTGAAGGCCCCTGCAGTAAACAAGCATTGGGTGACTTTGGAAGTCACAACTTTCCAGAAAAAGCACCCTTTGCCCATGAGACACAACCACACACACTTAACTGGAGAGACACTCGCACAAAGCCCTGAATTGTAAACCGTCCCTTTCTCTGTCTATTAACATTCAGCAATTAACTATCCGAGGCAAACAGCAATTGTAAATTTTGCAGATTTGATCTGAGATTAAGCAAGTCACTTCAGATTCCTCTCCGGAAGACCAAAACCAGGATAAAAACAGCAGCGTAATTAGTGAATTCCAAGACGATGTCAGAATGCAGAATAAAATTTGACAACCTTCTATAATGAGCACACATGATCTTCTATAATGAGCCCACCGTTTCTAACAAGCAGACTATTGCATATAACCGCAACAATAATTCTGAAAAAAGCAGGACTATGAATCGGTCAAAAATCTTATTTTAGAAAAAGGATTGAAATACGTAGGTTTCTTCATCAAGGTTCCGCACAGAGAAGATTAAGCTTTAATTAGAGATCTAACGAAAACTATCTGCAATTTTGTTTGTGTATGTCTCCTAAATGAATCAGTTTGTATTCCAGTTGCATAGAATAAAATGCTGATTTATTCCAGATTCCTTTAGTGGTGAGTTATCTTTCAGTTGCAAGCAATCAGTACCCAATTGAGTTTCTCATGGCCATCTCCAAGTATACAGTTAAACAGAGTTTGATAACACAAAATAATCAAGGCAATTGTGTACATAATTAACCCTAATAAGAAATTTGCTCAACTCTGTTGGGCTAAAATGAGTAAACCGCGAATTAGAAGTAACCCTAAGCATTTATAAAATGTTGTTATTGATTAAAATATATTTTCTTTGCCAATCCGACCATTGAAACGAACAGAAAATATAATTAAGAAGAACTGTTAATTGATTCCTGGACTCAGAATACCATAAGGCTGCATTCATGAGATTAAACCCAAACAAACATCATAGCATTTCTGAAATCTTCATTGGGAAATACCAATTTATGGCCCAAACTATATTTTTAACCCCGTGCTTTAGAAAGACACAATTAAAACTTATTTTTTAAAAAAATCCAAAAAGTCACAAGAGCAAGGTCTTCGTCTAGGAAAACCAAGGTTTTTCGATCAGACTTCAATTTTCCTTGCGTTGATGTGCTTTAAAAAAAATGGAGCCCGGGTGTTCAAAGTTCTGATAAACTGAAGACCAAAATTAAGACAAAATTCAGACTTAAGTCGTAAAACTGAAGGAGAACTTCCCAGTTCCTCTCCTTCCAGACATTTAAAATTTTAATTACAGCACCAGCAGCACAAAAAAAAAATATGCATGGAGCCCTTTACTATGGAGCACAATATAGATCTTAGCGGCACGAGATACTAATCTAATTCCCGGCATCGCTCTGCCTCGGTGTAAGTGAATTATCAGACTGCTCCTTTTGGTATTATTAGTTTACACTTCTAGAAAGGCACCGTATCTCTGCACAATTCCTTTCTTTTATGATCACCGATGCCGAATTTAATTATGTTCTGCGATCTGGGCGTACTTAGGAAATTGGAAACGGTCTTCTCAAAATTAAAAAGGTACATTGAAGAAAGGGACGCTTAGCTTCCTCCCCAGTGAACTTTCCCAATCTCGTCTTCAACCTGGTTGAGAAGCTGCTATTTCGGCTTCCCAGACAATCGTTCGACAAACATCTGATTCAAAAGAGGAAAAAAATATCAAAACGCCGCTTTCTAAACTTCCAGCTCTCCATTTTGACATTTCAAATTCCGCTTGCAAACTACGACGAGTCCTCAACTTACAAACAGTTCATATAGCGACCGTTTGAAGTGACAACAGCGCTGAAAAAAGTGACTTAAGGCTGTTTTTCACACACTGACGACCGTTGCAGCACCCCCAGGGTCACGTGATCAAAATTCAGACGCCTGGGCACTGACTCGTACTTATGACCGTTGCAGTGTCCTGCGGTCGTGCGATCTTCTTTTTGTGACCTGGCAAGCAAAGCCAGTGGGGGAGCCAGATTTACTTAGCGGCCGTGTGACTCACTTAACAACCGGGGCAGGAAAGGTCGTAAAACGGGGGAAAAGCTCACTTAACTAATGTTCTCACTTAGCAACAGAAATATTGGGCTCAATTCTGGCCGTAAGCCGAGGACTACCTGTGTTTGCGCAGGAGGTTGGGGTGTACTGCATGTTTTCTTGGGTGATTATGAGGGAGCCAAAATGGGGGAGCTTGACCCAAGGTGTGACGCATAAGCAACCCGGCCCCAAGCTGTGATCCGCACTAATTCACTCCGTGAGTCATTGTTTTCCTACACAACAGACTAACTAACTCAGCTGCTCCACCTGCTCAGGAGAACCTCCTTCACTACTCAAAGACGATCTGCGTAAAGCCGTGATGGGGCTTTTTACGGAACCCCCCTCCCCGTTAATTAATGAGGGATAATTACCGACTTGCAGGGGAGAACTTTACATCCATTAAGCTTTCTGCTGCTCCTGTCTAGGTTAGGCATAAAACCCAACGAATGATGCCCGTTCTGGCAGAAGGAAATGGACGTGTTTTACACAGACGAATTAACACGGAGGTGGGAGAGAAAACAGCCAGTGCGTAAAACATCCTTTTTCCACAAAGTGGGTTTGCTTCATATTGCTGCGGAAAAATATTCTTCTCGAAACTGAAAAGCTGTTTGTTTCAAATCTGTCGCCATGCATTCAAGGGAGCCCTTGTGGAGGGGTCACACCGTTCACCCGAAATGAAGGCGGGCTCAGGGGGTTACGGCAAACCGCTACGCTTTTTCCAATTCTTGTAACTCCAGCCCAGAATAATTTGACACACCGTATGCGGAAGAAAAATAGCCGTTGTTTTGTTCCGTTTTCATCAATTATGGGCCATCAAATCCTTTTGGATTCCTAGCGACCATTTCTGAAAATATGTTCTGCTAACCAACAGCCTTTTTAGAAATGGAAGAGAAAGACTGGTAGTTCTCTCCTTGAATGGCTTCGTGAAGCTAGAAACCAGGAGGCTGTGAGTTCTAGTTCTGCCTTAGGCGTGAGAGCTGATTGGGTAACTTTGGGCCAATCACCAGGAGGCTGTGAGTTCTAGTTCCGCCTTAAGCATGAGAGCTGATTAAGGAACTTTGGGCCAATCACCAGGAGGCTGTGAGTTCTAGTTCTGCCTTAAGTATGAGAGCTGATTGAGTAACTTTGGGCCAATCACCAGGAGGCTGTGAGTTCTAGTTCCGCCTTAAGCATGAGAGCGGATTGGGTAACTTTGGGCCAATCACTAGGAGACTCTGAGTTCTAGTTCTGCCTTAAGCATGAGACTGGATTGGGTAACGTTGGGCCAATCACCAGGAGACTGTGAGTTCTAGTTCTGCCTTAAGCATGAGAGCTGATTGAGTAACTTTGGGCCAATCACCAGGAGGCTGTGAGTTCTAGTTCCACCTTAAGCATGAAAGCTGATTGGGGAACTTTGGGCCAATCACCAGGAGACTGTGAGTTCTAGTTCTGCCTTAAGCATGAGAGCTGATTGAGTAACTTTGGGCCAATCACCAGGAGGCTGTGAGTTCTAGTTCCGCCTTAAGCATGAGAGCTGATTAGGGAACTTTGGGCCAATCACCAGGAGGCTGTGAGTTCTAGTTCTGCCTTAAGCATGAGAGCTGATTGAGTAACTTTGGGCCAATCACCAGGAGGCTGTGAGTTCTAGTTCCGCCTTAAGCATGAGAGCTGATTGGGTAACTTTGGGCCAATCACTAGGAGACTGTGAGTTCTAGTTCTGCCTTAAGCATGAGAACTGATTGGGTAACTTTGGGCCAATCACCAGGAGACAGCAAATTCTAGTTCTTCCTTAGCCATGAAAGCTAACTTGGGCCAGTCACCCTCTCTCAGCTCAACCCACCTCATAGTGTTGTTGTTGTTGTTGTGGGGAAAACGAGAAGGAAGTAATATTAGCTATGTTCACTTCCTTGAATCATTTCTGAAAATAATAAAGGCGGGATTAAAACAAATCTGAATCTAGTATCTCAGTAAGTTTAGTACTAAGACTTAGCACCAAAAGATTTCCAAGGTTTCATTTGAAAGGCAACCACTAAGCCCCAAAGTGGTGCAAACTGAAGAAAACAATTGTGACCCATTTCAATGCTGATTTCTTTCTCAGAAAGATTTAAACTGGAAACGAGCCTCCACATGGATCTGGCAGGCTATGCCATTTCTGCTTGTGTCTGCACGCTAAACTCTTCTGGGAAAAATAATAAGATATATTCAAAACACAAAGAGAGCATACATTTGATCAGCTTTGATGTTCTGTCTGATGGATTAACGAAATGTCCCCTAGGAAAGTAATATTATTCTAAGAACGGCTGGAAAAATCTAGGACACGGGGCCCAGAACGGTCGTGAAGATTATTATTATTATTATTTTTAATCAACAATGGAAGGTTTTCAATACAGAGAAGTCCTCGATTTACGACCACAATGGAGCCTAAACTTTCTGGTGCTAAGTGAGACAATTAAGTGAATCTGCCCCTTCTTATGATCTCTCTTGCCACAGTTGTTAAGTGAATCACTGCAGTTTATAAGTTTATGGGTGCAGTTTATGGGTGGTTTTAGGGGTGGGGATTGTGGGGGGGGGAGTGTGTTGGGGATTATATGTGTGGGACTTGGTTTTTGGGTGTCAAGTAAATTTCGTTGTATATGTATACTATCTACGCACATACAATGCCAATAAATAAATATAAACACGGTTGTTAAGTGAATCTGGCTTCCCCCATTGACTTTGCTTGTCAGAAGGTCGCAAAAGAGGATCGACATGACTCAGGGACTCTGCAACCATCATAAATACGAGTCAGTTGCCAAGCATCTGAATTTTGATCACGTGACCCACGGGGGTGCTACTACACTGATTTTTTTTTTCAGCGCCGTAACTTTGAACGGTCGCCAAACAAAACCGTTGCAAGCCGAGGACTAACTGCAATTGATCGCCATCTCACCCACTTACATCCGGAGACGAAGATTCGAGCACGATGCCGAATCCTGAAACCTGGGGCTCCGTTTTCGAGGAGGATTCGGCGACTGTGGGCCCACTCGGCCTGTCAGAATTTGGGGATAACTTCTTGTCGTTCGCGACAGCCCCGGCCTTCTGTTTCACCGAAAGGGGTTCAAGAGTCTTTGGGGGCGTTTTTTTCTTTTTATTCCTCTTTCTTGAGATGGTGGATTTCTGCAAGGTAGCCGGAGGAACTGAAGGCTGTTGTCGGTTCTGGGCAGCTGCTGAGGAGAAAAAATATAGCTGAGAGTGAGGTTAAGACGTTCGTGAAATTCGTTTAGGAAATGCCAAACGCTGCTTCCCATCTCGGCTTCCTGCATCCTCGTTTGGCCCTCAAAACTCGCAAAAGCCCCACAGATTCGCGGAAGGAAACAAGGATGGGGATACATGGAGTAACCGTTGAAAGGATCTCCATGAGGAAAGATGTCGAACAAACATCTAAAGTGGTGTTTTTCAAGCTTGCCGACTTTTAAGATGGGTGGACTTCAACTCCCAGAATTCCCCAGCCAGCTAAGCTGGCTGGGGAATTCTGGGAATTGAAGTCCACCCAACTTAAAAGTCAGCAAGGTTGAGCAAAGGGATCTAAAGGAATCAACATGTTTTTGGTGGAACCAAAGGCAAGCAAAACTGTTGAAATACAGGTGGTCCTCAACTTACCACAGTTCCTTTAGTGACCACTCAAAGTTACAACGGCACTGGAAAAAGGGACTTATGATGGTTTTTCACACGACCGGGGGCAGCATCCTCAGGATCAAAATTTGGATGCTTGGCAACTGATTCATACTTATGATGGTCGCAGTATCCCGGGATCACGTGATCCCATTTCCTGACCTTCCGACAAGCAAAGTCAATGGGGGACGCCGGACTCACTTAAGAACCAGGTGACTAATTTAATAACCGCAGTGATTCAGTTAATAACTGTGGCAAGGAAGGTCGTAAAATGGGGGCAAAATTCGCTGGGCAACAAAATTTTGAGGCTCAGTTGTGACCGTAAGACGAGGACTACCTGTATCTCCACCTGCAGGCAAGTGGACCTCAACTTGTTTAGTGACCATTAGAAATTACAGTGGCACTAAAAAAAGTGACTTAGGACTAGTCCTCACACTTATGACTGTTACAGCATCCCCACGGTCATGGGATCAAAATGGGGGGCTTGGCATGTTTTTATGATGGTTGCCGTGTCCCGGGGTCACGTGATTGCCATTTGTGACCTTCCCAGCCAGCTTTTGACAAGCATAGTCAATGGGAGGGAGTCAGATTCGCTTAATGTCTATATCAGGGGTAGGCAACCTTGGCTCTTTTATGACTTGTGGACTTCAGCTCCCAGAATTCCTGAGCCAGCATGGGGGAACTATGGCCCCTTCATGACTTGCGAACTTCAACTCCCAGAATTCCTGCGCCAGCATGGCTCAGCTTGGAAACCTCTCCCTTTCCCCTCAGCAGGGCTGGCTCAGGAATTCTGGGAGTTGAAGTCCACAAGTCATAAAAGAGCCAAGGTTGCCTACCTCTGGTCTATATGGTTCAGTTAACAACTGCAGTGATTCGCTTAGCAACTGTGGCAAAGAAGGTCATAAAATTAGGCACAATTCACTGAATAACCATCTTAGTTAGCGACGGAAATTCTGGGGCCAAGAATTTATGGTCCTAAGTCGAGGATTGCTAGCAGATCCCTTCAAGAAAATGCCGTTGGGTGAAGTGTTCCATATGATAAACTTGCTTGCATAATAATAATAATAATAATAATAATAATAATAATAATAATAATAATGATGATGATGATGATGATGATGATAATGATGATGATGATAACAAAACAACAACAACAACAACAACAATAATAATAATAATAAATACCCTACATTTTTTTAGAAGCATTTTGTTTGAGGTCCCAAAGGTGCATTTTTTTTTAAAAAAAGGCAACTGAACTTTCTTGGTTTTTCCCTTGAAGAGGTTTTGCTTCTCATCCCAGAAGCTTCTTCAGTTCTTCAGTTCAGCTTCAGATCAATTCAGAACTGAAGAAGCTTCTGGGATGAGAAGCGAAACCTCTTCAAGGAAGAACAAAGTCCAGTTGCCTTTTGGAAAAAAAAAAAAAAAGCACTTTTGGGACAACCATAACCTGGACGGCTGAGAACCTCCGCCGACATTTTCTTTGAGGCCAACTCCGTAAAATGAGAGGGACGGTCTAAGAATATCCCACTTGTGTGGGTGTGTTTGTGTGTGGGTGTGTGTGGGTGTGAAAGATGGATTGTCCTACCAGCTTGGATCTGCATGATCTTCCTCATGGTCTTCAGCTCCTGAAGAATGGCCTGCAGTGCTGGTTGACAATTGCAAGTGCAACAGTTTGATCCAGAGGAGGCGTTAGTCGCAGGGATTCCGCCTGAAAAAAAAACACGAAAGAGATCCACACCATTAGCCAGACCAACTTTTAATTTAGTTTAATTCAATTTAATTTAATTTAATTTTAGTTTAATGAAGAGAAGGACGAGGGGGGACATGATAGCAGCGTCCCAATATCTCAGGGGCTGCCCCAAAGAAGAGGCAGTCAAGCTATTCTCCAAAGCGCCTGAAGGCAGGACAAGAAGCAACGGATGGAAACTAATCAAGGAGAGAGGCAACCTGGAACTAAGGAGAAACTTCCTGACAGAACAATTAACCAGTGGAACAACCTGCCTCCAGAAGCAGTGAATGCTCCAACACTGGAAGTTTTTAAGAAGAGACTGGACAGCCATTTGTCCGAAATGGTGTAGGGTTTCCTGCCTGAGCGGGGGGTTGGACTAGATGACCTCCAAGGTCCCTTCCAACTTTATTATTATTATTATTAACTTCTTCCCCACAGGCTGCTAAAAGCTGTCGCTACTTGCAGCCAGGAAGCCAAAACCCATAATTAAATCTGCCAGCGTGAGTTTGTGACAGGCGTGTGTTTATTGCCTTCCTCTTCACAAAGAATTGTGTAACACTGTAGGGCAGAGAGGAGACGACACAATGGTAAATCTCACTGAATCACACACACAGCAGGCGGGCTTTTTGTTAAGCTGAGTCCACGGGGAGCCCAACAGAAATCACAGTCACACCTCCTTTACACAAGCAGCTTGTCTGGCTTTTGAGAATACGACATAATACAGGTAATCCTCGACTTACAACGGTTCGTTTAGTGGCCGTTTGAAGGCACTGAAAAAAGCGACTTATGACTCTTTTTCACAGGGATTGTTGCAAGCATCCCCATGGTCAAGTGTTCAAAATTCAGAAGCTGGGCAACTGACTCATACTTATGACCATTGCAGTGTCCTGGAGTTGTGTGATCCCTTTTTGTGACCTTCTGACAAGCAAAGTCAATGTGGAAGCCAGATTCACTTAACGACTGCGATGTTTCACTTAACAATGTAGCAAAAAGATCTATCTATCTATCTATCTGTCTGTCTGTCTGTCTGTCTGTCTGTCTGTCTGTCTGTCTGTCTGTCTGTCTGTCTGTCTGTCTGTCTGTCTGTCTGTCTATCTAATCTATCTATCTATCTATCTATCTATCTATCTATCTATCTATCTATCTATCTATCTATCTATCTATCTATCATCTATCTATCTATCTATCTATCTATGCTGTGGTGGTGCAATGGTTACAATGCAGCGTTGCAGGAAAACTCTGCCCACTGCCAGCAGTTTGATCCTAACTGCTCAAGGTTGACTCAGCCTTCCATCCTTCTGAGGTTGGTAAAATGAGGACCCAGATTGTTGGGGGGCAACGTGCTGACTCTGTAAACCGCTTAGAGAGGGCGGTAAAGCACTGTGAAGCGGTATATAAGTGTAAGGGCGATTGCTATTGCTATGAAGTCCTCATCTAATGACCACGGTTCTTGCTTAACCACAATTGGGACGGCTGTTTGCTAAGCAGTGCAATTACGCAACGTTTTACTTAACAACCCCTTCGCTTAGCAATGGAAATTCAGCTCTCCGTTAGGATTGTAGCCCAAGAACTGCCCGTATTGATTCTCTTTCCTTCTTGCTTCTTAATATTCTGATGAGGATTGTGGCAACGTTAGCCCAAAGCCAACGCTGAAATAAATTCTTTTTCATTTTTTCTGCGACAAATATAATGCATTCCTAATGAGGGTGTGCAGATCTAGACGCCCGTCAAAGGGAAAAAAAAATAATGAAACGCTCGTTTTCCCAGTGGGGCATGGAAGAATTACATTATAATTCCCATTAGCACCGGTAGAAATTACTCATGTAAATCTACTTTATGTACAATAAATAGGGAAAAAAAAGAGAAAGAAACTGCTAATATTTTAAATCAAAAGCAGAGCTCTGCTAACATCATACATATTTATGAACTTTTTTTTTAAAAAAAATCTTTGTTCGGGAGAAGATTAGAGCAGGACCCATTACATCAGCATCACATTTTGGTGTCCAGTTTATCGTTGATGATCACGAAAGTAATATGGTTTTTTTTAAAGACACCCATACGTGTAATTAAATATTTCATTCAAGAAGCAATCCTAGTTAGGTCTCATCATAAAGGAAAAGCAGTACAAACCTGGGCTCCATCTCGCCCCTATGCCAGTGATGGCGAACCTTTTAAACACCGAGTGCCCAAACTGCAACCCAAAACCCACTTATGCATCGTCGGGTGCCGGGTGGGTGTGGCCCATTGGCTGGGTGTGGCCAATTGGGTGGGTGTGGCTGCGGTGGTAACGGCAGACTGGGTGGGACTAAAAAGTTTGATCAATCAATTCCAACTTTGCAAGATTTTTTTTTCCCCGCAAGAAGTTGAAATTGACTGATTGATTGAACCTTTTTTTTTTTTTGCGCATGGTGGTGGAGGCCTAAAGCAAAAAGATTTTATAAAACCCAGCTGAAGGCCTAGGACTGGGGCGATGGTGCGCGTGCCCACAGAGAGGGCTCTGAGTGCCGCCTCTGGCACCCATGCCATAGGTTCGCCACCACTGCCCTATGCCCTGCCAGGATGGGGATTGTAAAATTCAAAGGGGCAGCTGCAACTTTGCAAAGTCAGGAGAACTTTTTAATGTTCGGGGAGGGACCAGTTGCATCATCTGAGCTGTCAGCTCCAGCTTTTTAGTGTACCCTGATGAGGTTCATACAAATCCCTTGAGCATCCCATAATATTCCACATTCAAAGTTATAACAGCACTGAAAAAAAAGTGATTTACGAAGTGCCCTTGGACTGTGGGGTACAGGAACTGCCTCACTGCATGCTTGAACACACCGAAGAAGCAACAAAGATCACAGCAAAATTGGACAGTGTTCCTACTTTGCCCATGCAAATCAGATTAAAAAAAAACAAACCCCAAAACCTGACACTTCTCCCTTGCTTATGTCTCCCTGGGAGACCCAACCCATAATTTCAGAACCCACGGCTTAATAACTAAATCAGGGGTGCCCAACCTTGGCAACTTTAAGACTTGTGGACTTACATCATTGTCAAAAGCTTTTCCAGATCTTCATCTATGTTGTAATTTGCAGTACAGTGGTACCTTGGTACTCAACTGCTTTAAAACTCATCTAATTTGGTACTCAGCACCAAATTTTTAAGTGAAAATATTGTCCCGCTACTCATCGTTTGTTTGATACTCAACACACAGGCTAGAACTTGTCGCTTATAGTGACTTACTATATATTATTCCTTGTGGGAATGATTTGTTTGGTATTTATTTGGATGAGACTTCATCTACCTCACCATCCAGGCTTGTTCCAACCAAGATGTTCTTGAATTAAGTGATGATTTAGTCCAGGGATGTTCAACCTTGGCCACTTTAAGACTGAAGGACTTTAATTCCCAGAATTCCCCAGCCAGTGTATCCAGGCTTGTTCTACGAATGACAGTGGTACCTCGGTACTCAACGTTAATTGGTTCCAGGAGGCATGATGAGTACCAAACAAATCATTCCCATAAGGAATAATATATAGTAAGTCACAAGGCAACTGACAGTGACAAGTTCTAGCTTGTGTGTTGAGTACCAGACAAACGATGAGTAGCGGGACAAAATTTTCACATAAAAATGCGTTGAGTACCAAATTAGATGGGTTTCAAAGCAGTTGAGTACCGAGGTACCACTGTACTACAAATTACAACACAGATGAAGATCTGGAAAAGCTTTTGACCATGATGTAAATGGTCTTCATAAAAGACTGGGAATTGCACCAAGGGTAAAGGAAAATAGTCCAATTGATCAAGAAACAATTTGGAAATAATTATACGAGTTAATATTCTGGCACCTTTTGGGGAAAAAATAATCAGTATGGTTGAATGGAATCTTTGGATTGGGATAATCAATATGCAAGGAAGGGAAATTTAATACAGGTAGTCCTCGACTTACAACAGTTCATTTAGGGACTGAAAAAAAACTGTTGCAGCATCCCCCATGGTCATGTGATCAAAATTCAGACGCTTGGCAACCGCTTCTTACTTATGACAGTCGCACCGTCCCGGGGTCACCTGATCCTCTTTTGGTGACCCTCTGAATCACTGAGGTTGATAAGTTAATAACACGGTTGTTAAGTGAATCTGACTTAACAAGCAAAGTAGCAAGAGAGGTGGCATTGACAAGCAAAGTAGCAAGAGAGGTGGTCAAATGGGGCAAAAATCACTTGGCAAATGTCTCGCTTAACAACGGACGTTTTGGCCTCCGTTGTGATCGTAAGTCGAGGACTACCTGTAACGTAAGAAAAAGCTTGGGAGTTTTCATATTACCAACTGCGGACAAAGGATTCGTTTTCGTTTGTGACCCAGGAACGCAGTATAGTGAAAATCCAGTCAACCACAGTCAACAGATAGAACTTAGATCGTACCGTTTGTGCCCACGGTTCTGGCTTGGTTCTGGAAGGTTTTCGAACGGGTGCCGTACTGCCCTGAATAGGGGCCGGTCTGGGGAGACAACTCATTCCAGGTCCCGCTCGGCAACGGTTGGAGATGTCCCTGGGTGTCTGCCGGAGGATTCAGACGCGGAGTCCAGGCCAGGTCTAAATCTTGGGGTTCTTCCTTCAACATTTCTCCTTCTTTGCCAACTCGCTGATAGATTCGCCCGGTGCTGTCATTCAACAATCTTCTCATCCCTGTAATCTGTTTTTTAATCTCCCGACTTTCGTCTCCTAGATCAAGCAAAAACAATCTCGTAATTTAGGAAATATTAGAACATTGCTCTATTGCAGCGATCCCCAACCCCCAGTACCGGGCCGCGGCATGCCAGCAAGCGGTCCGCACAAACAAGCAAAGCCCCATCCATGGGATGCGGGCAGCACACAAAACCACGCACCCTCCGGTCCGCGGAAAAACCTCTCTCCACGGAACCGGTCCCTGGTGCCCAAAAGGTTGGGGGCCTCTGCTCTATTGAATACGTCTCCAATGGCATTTTTTTTCTTACTCTATTTTACATATAGGGTTCATATATGCATACAGACTTACGACCGCCTGGAGTTTCAATTCTAAGTTGTTCTGGTCTTAAGTCGAGACATTACGGGACCGGACTCGATTACACAACTGTTTTTTTTTACAACGGTGGTAAAGTAAGTCACGGTTGGTCGTAAAGCAAACGGTGCGATTGTTAAGCAAATTCATCCTTTCCGAAATCAGCGGGAAACGTCACAAATTGCGACGACGTAGCCGCGGGGATGTTGCAACTGCTCGTGAATGTGAGTGGTTGGCAAGCACGTGAAATGTGATCACGTGATCTTGCGGGGATGTGTGTGCAGGCCAGTTGTAACTTTGAGGACAGATCATAAGTAGCTTTTTAAAAAGTCTGTCATAACTTCAAATGGCCCTAAACTGAGTAGTATTTGTACTTGTAGAAACAAATTAGGGACGGGAATCCATCCAGATCTAGAGAGCAAAAGGCATTTCACAGGTGACCTGCATATACAGCTAGTCCTCGACTTATGACCACAATTGAGCCCCAAATTTCTTTTGCTAAGCGAGTCACTTGTTAAGTGAGTCTTGCCCCACTTTATGACCTTTCTCGTCACTGTTATTAAGTGAATCACTGCAGCTGTTAAGTCAGTATCAGGGTTGTTAAGCGAATCTGGCCTTCTCCGTTGACTTGCTTGTCAGAATGTCGCAAAAGGGGATCAGGTGACCCCGGGACACTGCAACGGCCATAAAGGTGAGTGGTTGCCAAGGGTCTGGATGTTGATCACGTGACCCTGAGGAGGCTGCAATGGCCCTATGTATGAAAAACGGTCATAAGTCACTTTTTTCAGCGATGCTGTAACTTTGAACAGTCGCTAAATGAACTGTTGTAAATTGAGGACTACCTCTATGTCACTGTACACACCTGTAAGAATATACAGGTAGTCCTTGACTTATGATCCGTCATTTAGTGACCATTTGAAATGACAAAAGTTTCCAAAAGAGGTTCTTATAACCCAGATTAGAAATTCTGATGGCTGATTCCCCTGCGATCATGTGATCACATTTTTGGCATTTCGTAACTGGCCCACATTTACACTTGTTTGCAGCGCCCAGGGATCAATGGGTCAAGGAATTTATGCAAATGTGTGTGTTTGTTTCTGCTTTCTGGCAAAAAGCATCCATTGGATTCAATGGGTTTGCTTAAAATTGGATCAGTCATGTGATAACCTGCTTAACAACAACCAGCACAATCTGTGATTGTAATGCTGGGCTGAATGATGGTTGTTAAGTCAAGGACTACGTGGATGCAAATTTCAAAACCCCTCCGTGCAATTTGTGACATTCTCTGCAGGATTTCCAGCTGTCGATCAAACCATATTCATTTCTTGAGGGAAAAAAAAGAAACACATTCTTGTTAAAAGAACTGAACAGAGATCTCCCTGTGTTAGTATTCTCATTAAAATTAAGAAAATATGGGCTGTGTTTTGCTGAAGACTCAGCAGTAACTGGATAGGTAGCAGGGGTGCTCCATCAAATAAGGAGGCAAAGCAAATTTAATGGAGGGGGGGGGAAACCCACATTTTATTTAATATCCAGAACACAGCATCCATCCAAGGCCTTTGATGCATAATGTAAAAAAAAAGGAAGGAAAAAAAAAGCTACAAAATGAGGACCTGGCCCATTTAAAAACAATTACATCCCCGGCCTCATTTAAGTATTAATTTTATTTATGATCATACTGATTTCATTCTGCGTCGCTGCGTGTTTGCTGCCGAGGGTTGCTATTTTGCCTGTTGGGGCATAGAATTTCATTAGCAGGAGGCAAACTCACGAGCAAAACCATCAAGCATTTTAAGCATGACTGAAAATGGGATATTGAAAACCAACGGCAGTCGTACAAGATGAATTTCCCCGCACCGAAATTTCTCCTTTGTGAAAAACATCGCACATAAAATGACACCTCCACAATCTGATCCACTATTTTAGTGACTTTTTAGCCTGGTGGCTTCCCTCTGGGACCCAAATCCAGATAGTTCTCGACTTACGACCACAACTGAGCCCAAAGCAAGACATGTGTTAAATGAGTTTTGCCCCATTTTTACAACTTCTCTGACCATGGTTGTTAAGTGAAACACGGTCGTTAAGTGAATCCGGCTTCCCCCATTGACTTTGCTTGTCAGAAGGTCGCAAAAGGGGATCACGTGACCCCGGGACTCTGCAACAGTCATAAATACGAGTCAGTTGCCAAGCCTCTGAATTTTGATCACGTGACCACGGGGACGCTGCAACGGTCGTAAGTGTGAACATCGGTCATAAGTCACTTTTTTCAGTGGTGTTGTAACTTTGAACGGTCACTAAATGAACTGTCGTAAGTCGAGGAATGCCTGTAAATATTTTGCAAAGGATCTAGCGAGAACAAAATTAAAAGGCTTTTGTTATCTAGACAAGTTCCTGTTTCTTTACCAGAGCAGGAGCAAAAATATTTTGTCCTGACCTGATTATTCTGCATCCCTTATATTTTTTTCTTTGACCCTCATCTTAATTGTGGATGGTGTTAATTAGGGCTGGAGGTTTTGAATTAAGAATGGCAAGATTTTTTTGGGAGGAAGGATGCATGTGTGTGTGTGTGTGGAATTGGCAAGTGACACAGTGAGGAAAGCTGTCACGTTCACACCCATCGAAGTACAGGCGAACCTCTACTTACGACAGTTCATTTAGGGATCGTTCGAAGTTACAACGGCACTGACTGAGGACCATTTTTCACACTTATGACCGTTGCAGCCTCCCCCTGGTCACGTGATCAAAGTTGAGACGCTCGGCAACTGGTTCCTATTTATGACGGTCGCGGTGTCCCAGGATCATGTGATTTTCATTTTCATTTTATTAAATTTATACCCCGCCCTTCTCCCGGAGGACTCAGGGCGGCTTACAGCCAGTTTAAAACAATGATACAAAACAATACAAAATTTAAAAATGATTAAAAATAAATATTCAAATTTGGCCGCTTCTACTAAAAATTTGATTAAAACCAATTTAAAATCCACTAAAATTCCCTAGGCCAGAC